AAACCAACAAAATCCCAAAAAAATCCCAGAGTCTAGAAATTTGACCATTGTAGTACTTTCGGTCGACCGATAGACCATAGTCAGTCAACCGACTAGATGACCGTTGGCAAACTAGAAAATCTCGAGCTCTTTCGATCTACTGACAATGTTGTATCGGTCAACTGAACCTACACCATCGGTCGATTGAATATTGTGTGTCGGTCGACTGATGACCGACCGTCTGTAGGGTCTGTAAACAAACCATCTGGCTGATTGACCGAGGGGTAAAGCCCGGTCAACCAGAAATAGATACTTCAAGACACATGTTTTTAGTTGAAAATCTAATTTTGTAAATTCAAAATAAAATAACAGATAAATTCTAAAAATAGTGAAATTTTGGGGAATGATTATAAACAAGAAAAAAAACATGTTTGAGAAGAAAATTTTAAAATCTCATTTATCGTTTGTGAAAACTCATTATTTTGTAAAATGGTTAAAAACACAAGTATTTGTATTTGATTCCCAAAATAGCTTCAAATGTTATCTACTAAAATTCTTGCCTATATTATGAACTAGAGAGAAAATAAAAATACAAATATCTCACATATGAATACAAGTCTTGAGTCTGAGATTTGCGAATTGTTGATGAAGTTCCTCTTGAATATATATTGCACTTGAAGGCTCTCCCTCATCAACTTGCCTCCACCTCCTTGGATATCATTGTTATAGCGTAAAATCCATCCAACCTCCAATTGTGGCACTAAATTGCTTGACCATACTGTATTATATCACTCAACAAGTAATTAGTACCTATAATGGGGTTTGTAAATCATCATCAAAACAAGAGACCTAATAGGCTTCATTCCTTTATCTTTACAACCTCCTTTGAATATGATCGTCAAAGCGCATGTCCATCCAACCTCTGACTGATGATCTTTGTGTAGGATTCCTAATAAGTAAATACAAACACTCAACAAATGATATTAGAAATTATTTGTGAATCATCAAAACCAAATTAGATAGTAGGCTCATAAACAAGAGACCTAACATTTACCTTTCCAACTCACCACAGAGAAAAACTATTTACCAAAACCCAAAATTATCCTTAACCCCTTCCCCACAAAACTTGTCTGTCCTCTCTCTCTCACTTCTAATTTCTCTCGCTCAAACCTCCATCATCTCGAGAACCCAAATTCAAAAACCTAAATTTCACTTAAACGTCCATTAAATCCGTTAAAAATTTCTGAATATTTTAAGCTAAATGGCCGAGAATCGTAATGTGAAGAAAGGTGAAGGAGACAACACCCAAATGGAAGGGGTTTGTCACCGGCCACTCGGCTTAGTTGACGAAGTAGGATGTGCTAAAATCAATCGGCTCTGCCTCTGCCTCCGTATCCCCCACTGGCGGTTCTTCTCCGACATCCTCTGAGGATGAGGAAAGTAACAAGGCGACGGTGACCCTATTGAGCATGAAAAGGGGACCAGAAGTTCGAGACCGCTAGAGGAGACTCTCGATGGAGGTTGTGCCCATCTCTAAGACGAAGTAAGTTCTCAATCAATTGAGTGATTTTGAATTTAATTAATTTTTTTATAAGTAATTTATAAAATTATGGTGTTGGATGTTAGTTGAACATATGAGCGGGAAAAAAAGGAAGAAAGTTTATAGTTTATTTGTTTGAAATGAGATTGAGATTTATAGGTTCTGTTTATGAAAAAATAATGGTGAAAAACTTGTTATTGTAGTATAGAACCAGTTTCTTAATTTGGGAGTATGATCTCAACAATATTAAGTATAATCGTTTTGAAGAAATGCATGTCAATAATTCTCATTTGTTGTTATCTATTAGCAATGCATGTCAATAATTCTCATTACTTGTTAACTTTTAGCCTTAAGTGTCAATTATTAGCCATGCATGTTTATAAATCTAGACTTTTACTAAGTTAATGAATTAACTGTTAATTATTTCCAATTCATGTTAATAGTAATCATTTGTTGCTAGGCTAAGGTCATAACTATTGAAGTTTGATATTCAATTTATTGATAATAAAAGTGGATAAAACTATTCGTAGAATTTTTGTCTTAAACTGAGTGAAATTATTATGTATGAAGTGTAGACCTATTGTATGACATATAGACTCATTATTTGGAATTTAGTTCATTGTGTTATATTATCATGTAATATATATTGAGAAGTATAATCATAACATATGAATTACAATATACAATTATATCCAACAATTATAAAAAGTATGTGAATATTTATAATTGGATTTGTCACATATTATATATTGAGAAGTATAGCATGTGCATCAATTTTTTGTTTAAGTGATAGCATTACATGCAAAAGTAAATAACTGATGCTTACTTTTATACATACATGTTTCATCATTAGATATTAAAGTTTATAAACGAATGTTAACTTGTATGAACAGATGTTAAGTTTTGATGAGTGTTGTTAACATTCATCCGTAAGTGTTAACTGTCACAAAAGGTTGTTACGTTTTAACCTTTAATGTTAATATTTGCCACAAATGTTAATTAGTATAATGGATATTAAGAATTTGAATGACTTGTTTAAGAGTAGATATTAGTTTATGCAAGAAAATTGATGTAGCTGTAGGTGATATTAGCCCTACAACATGTTTTGGATCATACTATGCGTTTATGAAAAAACTTCAACCGAGAATAAAGAAGTGGCACTAGGATGCCTACAAGGATAGTAACTTTGAGCACTACATCCTGTTTGGACCTCGAGCACGTGATCGACCAGCGCTAGAGCACGTGATCGACCAGCGCTAGAACATGTGCTAAGTCATTATGTTGGCAAAAAGGTTGATGTTTTTATTCAAATTTGACGAGGAGTGGGGGCAAAATCGTATGGGATTCCCAATTGATAGGGAGTTGATTTATGGAAATAGAGACCCGCACAACCGGCTCTGGAGAGAGTACTTTGAAGAGAAAAAAAAATGATAAAGGCCAAGGCAAAGACAAAGGCAAAGGGGAAAATATAAACAAGAAGCTAGTAGCATGCGGATCTATGTTGAAGAGTTATTGGAGACACTTGTTGAGTCAACCTCAAAGAAGGATATTGAGGATTTTGGGCTGCTTCAGATTTTGTACCAGTGTGCAATGATTTGGTACCCTAATAGCCCATAATGTATTCCTAGATTGTTGTTTCAATATGTGGATAGCATTGGGAGAGTAAAAAATATTGCATTGGGTAAATTTATTTTTGATGAGACGAAGAGAGGCATTCAAATTGCTGTGGAAGGAATGAGAAAGTCATGGGTTACATACATACCTGGATGAATGCCACTCACTCATGTAAGTTGCATGTTCATATGGTTTGCTTTTTATTTTAGTTATTCACAGTTTTGATAACTATGATAAAAGTTAACATGCATCAGAAAACATGTATAAGATTTAAAGCTAACAGGATATGGTGACAATTAACATGTTAATATGAAATGTAACATTTATGCATGAAAGTTAACATTAATAACATTTATACATGAAAGTTAACATTAAAATGTGACAGTTAACATGTACGTCTGAATGTTAATATGTAATAGTAAAAGTTAACGTGAAATTTACCTATTTAGACTGAAGTTGAACAAAGAGTTTTGAAAGTTAATTAGAAAGAAAATTTATGACAAACATTTGTTTCTTCAACTTCATCTTTTGCATGCTATCTGTAGCTTTACTAGTTTATAAAAGCTTAAAATTTCTTTCATTCTATTTTGATAGCTATAGTATTACGAGATGACAGACATCAAAATTCTTTCATTCTATTTTGATAGCTATAGTATTACGAGATGACAGGCATCAAAAAGCCAACCCTTAACTTGAGATGGAAGCCTCCTTTAACTAATTGGATAATGGTTGGAGGGACAGGTAGATCGATGAGGAGAGCTACAATTGTTTCCATAGCAAGGAAAGCAAGCATTAAAATCATAGAGAAACCAATTTCTCCTATCAGCCCACGGAGTGAGAAATACCCTTAAAGGGAGCCCAATTAGATGAAGGATGATATCTCTCATCGGGGAAAAAAGAATCTCCCTCATCTCTGATAGGAGTAAATCTATGGAGCAAATACTAACGAAGAAGGTTGCTCAGATGAAGAAGAAGGAGAAGCCAGAAAAGGTTAAGGACAAGAAGCCAGAGAAGGTTAAGGATAGATCTAAGAGCTTATGAATAGGCTACGTCAGCATCAATTATTCTTTACACATTCTTGCATATTTATATTAAACGAAATTTTATAACTTTATCAATATTACATTTTAATTTGCATTGTTTCATGTTAAGTTTCTTTGTGCATGTTAGTATACATTGTTTCATGTTGAGTTAGTGTTAATGTTAATGTTCAGCAGAACATGTGAATTCTCAGTGTAACATGATAACTTTTATCCTTACATGTCATCTTTCATGCTTACATGTTATTTTTTATTCTTACATGTTAACTTTAGTTTGTACATGTTAATTTTCAACATAACATGTTAACTTTCATCCTTACATGTTAGAATTTTAAATTTTATTGATTTTCATAACTATTATCCTTAATTTTTCATTGTTTATAAACCAATATAATGGGTATATATTTTTTTAGATTTTCTCCCGACATATCAGTGATTCTCTTAACAGAGAAGATGAGATAGAGAAGTTAATAAGTGATGAGCAAATTCATTTTTGGAGGAATACTACCAAACTAAATTAAAAATTGCTCCATGCTGTCAAGTGTAGCAAGCGATATTAATGTGATGCTTGCGCCAAGGAGATACAACGGCTTAACAAGAAATTAGAGATCTATGAAAGAACCAGTGATCTCATTGATCCTGAAGACCTGAAGAAGAATGTGAAGAATCTTATGGCACAAAATGATAGGTATACTAAGGCTGCCCAGAGGAAGAAGAAAAGTATTTTGGATTCTTTTAATAGGGCTGATGTTATTAGTTGCTTTGATTATGATGATGTAACCAATATTGAAAAAGAAGCTGCTCATATTGTATAGGAGGTTATGCAAATGCAGAAGGAAATTGATGAAGTAGAAGAGAAAAACCAAGAAGTTGCGCAAGAAGAGAAGGAAGTAAAGAAAGAAGAAGGGCAAGAAGTGGATGTTGAGAAAGATAAGGAGAAGAAAGAAGGGAAAGAAGAGGATGGTGAGAATGTGGAGAAACAAGAAGAGAAGAAAGAGGAAGAGAAAGAATAAGAGAAGAAAGAAGAAAAAAGGAGGAGAAAAAGGAGAATGTTGAAGAGTCATCAATTGAGAAATTCATTGCAGCACCAAAGGAAAAAGTTTATCGAAAGAGAATGAAGAGATTAGCTTCAAAGGTGACAAGGGCACCAAGTGCCCGGATTAGGATACGATCATGGCTAGTCCGAACCCCGCTCACTAAAGAAAATAAGGGAAGTTGATGAAGAGATAATTATAATATCACACCAGAAGGATGAGTAGAGGAAAAAAAAATTAAGTACTACTATAAGCCTGATGAATGCAGCTGGGAATTTCTGAAGAACAAAAAAATCAAGAACAAAGAGGAGGCTCTTCTAAAGTTGTTAAACGAGGACATTCCTAATGTTTCTTATTTTGGCATACACTTCGTTGATAGTGAAGGAACCTTCATTCACATCTTTAGAATATCTGATCATGTAGAAGAAAAGCTCACACCAAATGAGAATAGATAGGTCTCAAATTTTTACGATCAGAAATTCCATCCGTAAGTTTAGTAATTCTCATTCATGTTTGGCTACATATTATCTATGATCTTTTATCCATTCATATTAATGTTTGTGTATAAATGTTAATATTTCCTGATATATGTTAACTTGGAGACATTTATGTTAACTTTTGCTCGTACATGTTAACTTTCACTATTACATGTCAATGTTTATCAGTAACTGTTAACGTTTGTATCTTACTATTATATTTCTGGTCGTGTATTATTATCAATATGTCAAATAGTAGTATTGATGCTTTGGATCTTCTGTATCTGCTTCGTGGAGGCCGTCTTGATGACCATGCAAGTTTAATATGTTAAATATATGCATATCTATTTTTTTATGTTATGTTGTTATGCAATTTAATTTTTATCTCTTGCATGGTAATTTTATAAGTCATGGAAGCTTTGATAAATAGAATAAGCATATGGTTAAAGAGACCAAAAAATACCTCATTGAGCAAGAAATATGGAGTCGTATCAACTTACTTTTACGTAAGCACTAGTTTTAAACCCCTAACCATCCTTATATCTTGTTTATAATTGACACAACATTATCTTCTTGGCAATACAACATAGTCTTTATACCAAGACTCCTGATTTTTCACATCTGTACACTTCGTTTATACAAAAGCATGTTGCTACGGGCAAGAGTATACTCCTTATACCCCTTGTGCATCGAGACCACCGGCATGTTGCTGAAGTCATATTGGATGAGGACGTTGTTAAGCATTATAGCTCATCTGGCCATAGTGTGTATATTAAACCAGTGAATAAAGTAATTAATTTTATGGATCATATGAAGTCTAAATTTGATCCCAGAATGTTTGGAGAAAGTACAGATATGAAGCCATCCCTTACGAGCAACAGTCTGGATTGTTAGTACAAATTTTACCTTTTTCATGTTATCCAATATCATATATCTAACTAGCTTGCTACTTTATATCATGCAGTTTTGATTGTGGAATTTTCGTTCTCTTATATATGAAGGCTATAATCTGTCATGTTGATACAGTTTAAGTAACTACTCCTGACGTTAAATCTGGTGTCATATGTGCAAGGCTTGTAGAGGAACTTCTAATAGAAGGATGAGAACAGAAGAATCAAGTAGAGTCATTAGATAAGGATGGGAGAAAGTTGTTCTAAAAATTGATTGATTTAACCAAAACTTGTGTGCATGTTTATATTGTGTATAGTAATTTAGTTGTGTAAATAGTAGATGCGGATGACATATAATGCAACAAGCTTGACCTTTATTGTTCTTATTGTATTTCTAGTATTTTTACCATCATATATTTACATTTTGTTTTGATACAACATATATTTAACAGGTTCAAATGAAAGCTACATGTTCACCTTAACAGGAAAAGCCAATACTTAACATGTGCATTTAAAAATCGAACATATTCAGCTGAAAGTTATCATGTTATGAAGAAACCTAACATGTTACAGTAAAAATTAATATATTCAGCTGAAAGTTAACATGTTCAGCTGAAAGTTAGCGTGCAGAGCTAAAATATAACATGTTCACGTGAAAGTTAACTTATTTAGCCGAAAGCTAACATGTTCAGTTGAAAGTTTAAGTGTACATCTGAAAGTTAACATTTTCAGCTGGCAGTTAACTTAGAGATCTAGCATGTTCATATGAACGTTATCATATTTAGCTGAAAGTCAACATGTTAAGCTAAAAGTTATCGTGTACAGCTTATAGTTATTTTAGAGCTGAGATAATTAATAGGAAACACAAACAAAATACTTCATCTAAGCAAGTGCATTTCACAAAACTTCTTACATTTTTACAGCTGATATTGCTTGAATACACAGTAAATACTTAGTCTTACAACTTCACAGATTACAAAAGTCTTTCATAATATAATTTTTGTAGCAGCGTATTATCATTTCATTTTCATTTCTAGTATTTTCATCATCATAAATTTACGCTTTGTCTTTATACAACATATATTCGGCTAAAAGTTAATGTATACAGCTCAAAGTTAACATGTTCAGCAGAGTTAACGTGTTCAAATGAAAGTTAACATGTTCATGTTAAAGTCAACATATTCGGCTGAAAGTTAACATATACTGCTAAAAATTAAAATGTACATCTTATAGTTAACCTTTTCAGATGAAAGTTAATATATTCAGCTGAGAGTTAATATCTTCACTTGAAAGTTAACTTAAGAATTTAAAAGTTAACGTGTACAGTTAAAAGCCAACATGTTCTTTTGAAAGTTAACATATTAAATGAAAGTTAACATGTTCAGCTGAAAGTTATTCACCTAAAAATTATTATAGTACCAAGATAATTAACAGGAAACACAAACAAAATACCTCAGCTAAACAAGTAAAATGTACAAAATTCCTTACATTCTTACAGCTGATATTGCTTGAATACAAAATATGATTAGTCCAACAACTTCACAGATTAGAAAAGTCTTCAATAATATACTGCAAAATTCTACACAACCTATATTTCTCTAACAAAAGTATTGTTGTAAGAAGCAGTCCATACTAATCACCAATTGGCTCGTTGCAAGTTTCTTTGGATGTTTGTAAATGGTTCTGTTGTTTATACGTCTAGTTCTATTTCTTCCCTTCCCCCTAGTGGTAATTGGTGGCAATATATATGGATTTCATCTCTTGGCACACTCTGAAAATCCCTAATGCCACTAGGAAAGAACCCTAGAGGGGGGTGACTAGGGTTTATGCTAATCTAATCTGATTTATACAAATTTAAAACTAATTAATCAATATCCTAGCAAATATAATATGTCACAGAATATATATTGCAAGGATATACAGATAACGCAAGGGTAAAACACGGAATAAGCAATATAGTGGATGAAATAAACAATGAGAGAATGACAATAAAGATGAACACAAATATAAGTACGCCAAACCAAACTCAAACAAGCAATATGATCACGGAGTTCGGACCTTCCGTCCTACGTCTTCGCTCCCCACTCTCGAGGAGAAATCCACTATCACAGTCGGTTTTTCTACATCCACCCAAAAACGTTTACACCTCACACTCAGTTTTCTAGCTCACCGAAAACTTTACAACACTCACGATGTAACTACACTAACTACCACCTCAAGTGTTGGTCTCTAGCCGTGTCTCCCTCAAGTGATAGAATTTATAACCTACCTCTAGGCATTACCACCTACCCCACTTCTCTTGGGACGACCCCGTCTCTCACCACACACTCCTCTCGATGTACAAGTGTATTACAAAGTGTAACTTCACAATTAGGCACAAATACAATTGTTTCTTCTATAATACAAGATGAGAATGTGACACCCCAGAGTTCACACAAGGCTACAATCCTAGGTAAAGCCCGGATTGTTAAACCTGCCAAGCACCAACCACCATGCTATGACATGTTTCACCATTACAATCACTATCTCTCTAGTGGAAACAATAAATAGGTGAAGTCACGGACAGACAAAAATAGAAATAGAAATAGAACAACACCGAATGTACATAGAAGAAGCATATGAAAAATCAATAATGAGCCCAACTGGGATAAAATAGACATATCTCTGAGTCTGAACTGAATCTCAAATACAATGAGTCACATAAACAAAGTCTCATAATAGCTCTCAACTCTATGAAACAAAATACCAATCTAGATTCTGAAAATAATCAACTACATGTGGAGTTCTACAACAACTACAAAAATATAATAAGTAACTAAATGGACAACTAAGAAGTCTCATCAACCTGCGACTCTCCGTGCGCCAAACTCACTGCCTAAAAGGGGGGAAAACAATGAGCGTCAAAGCGCTAGCGAGATCATCACTACCTCTCCCTAGGGGAAGGGGTAGGAGTATATAAGAAAATAGAGTCAGTACATACATATATCAAATCATTCATATAACCCTTTATGAAACAAATAATCAATGATAAATACTCTAATCTTCAACATAAAGAATAATCATCTCATCTCGAATTACGTCCGAGTGACCTGCTCTAATATAAGAGGATACCAACTAAGCTAAAACAAATATATCTGCCGTCCATAACGGGTGTATCTAATTCTCAAAGGAAATACCCTACACGCGGACAATCTATCTGGGAAGTAAAACTTACAACTGATCAATTATCTATGTGTGCATCATCTTATACTATAGCGATACTTTTGTAATGCACGTTACTCAATCGCTCTGTGGTAATAGGGTTTATTATTTTTCTATTCCGGATACATATAATAACGATACTAATGTAATACTCTTACTCAATCGTTCTGCGGCAATAGGGTTTATTATTTTCCTATTCCGGATACATGTAATAACGATACTATTGTAATACTCTTACTCAATCGTTCTGCGGTAATAGGGTTTATTATTTTTGGTAATAGGGTTTATTATTTTCCTATTCCGGATACATGTAATAACGATACTATTGTAATACTCTTACTCGATCGTTCTGCGGCAATAGG